TTATCACACTGCCATTGTCAAGTATCTAAGACCAGACACTTGTCAACTTTTCACCTGCATTGTTGTAATGCCCTTTAAAAATTTTTCCAAAGGCAATGTCGCCCCTGTCAGTCCGTTATTCCAGATTATTGCTGCAATAATCAATACATCTACTCAGCAGATGGTTTGGCCCGTATAAATCCCTCCTCTTGATTCTATATTACCTTCCCACCTTCCTGAGGCTCAAACCTAAGACCCTCTGTACCATCTTCAGGGCAGAAGACTTCAAGTTTCCCATAGAACTGATATCCTGATGGTGATTCCCTAATCAAACAAAGTAATTCACCAGGGTAACCCAGTGAGCCCATGTTCTCCTTTTGTCCACCCCCCTCCTTCTTCCACATCACTATGGTGCCTTATCTACTCAATCCACTCCTTCCTTTAAGCCTTCTCCAGTTTGAACAGCCCTTTCCTTGTTAGAAGGGAGACAAATAGTAAGGGCATTCACGGTACTAAATACCGTACAAATGCTCTCATTTAATCCATACAGAAATCCAACGAGACAGTACTACTATGTTCTTCATTTCTGAGATGAGGAAACTGAAATGTAGAGAATTTAGGTAATTTATGAATAAGTAGCAGATCTAAAACTTGTACTGGACACCGTAACTTAAAAAGCCCCCAAAGCAGTTAACCTCTTGGCCTTTGCACAAGCTGTTCCCCTGCTCAGAAAGGTCCTACCCTCTTCCACTAGTTGGCAAGCACCTGGTCAACCTTCAAAGTCTGACTTAAGTGCCCCCACCCCCTTTTGAAGCCTTCTTCCACACTGCTCAATCAGTGGTAATTATTCTTCACTTTGTTCTACCCTATCATAGCCAAGTATCACTGCCATAAATATTTTGTTTCTTTTACTTATTTGTGAGGTCTTTGGAGGAAGGGATATTCTATTTATACCAGCACATTGCAGTAACCCAAAAATGTCTGTACCGTTACGTACTGCCCTAACAGACATCAGAATGCAAAGTTCCCTCCATAACCACTCTACAGATTAAAAAACTGAAATAATTCAGAATATAAATTAACATTTAACCTGAAATATTCAAGCTTGACAGTAAGTATGCATTGGTTATTAGGCTTGTTAGCTGCTTAAATCATACATTTTGAATTTAAATCCATATTCAAAGCTTCCTTTGGAATGCATAATAAATGTAACAGGTGTGATCTTTTCCGAGTATTTACACTAGTCAGCTACAGAAATAACTGAAAATGGTGGAGGAGGCAGAGAGGAATGCTGGTCATTCCCCTCTGCCACAGAAGGCAGTGACTGAGGACAACTTCAGAGACTGCCTCTCTCTATTGTTTACCACTCCTTGTGTGAGCACCTCAGGTCAGATTTAAAGATACTTGTTTTGGAGGGAGAATGGGGGGAGGGTACAACTTTGTCTTAAAATGCAAGTCAGTTAATTTCAGCCAGTGAACAACCAAAGAAAAAGTAATCTGTTAAAGGAAAGCTGGAGTACTGTGTTCAATGAGGTACCTTTCTAAATGTTTCTCGAGTCATGGTGACTATACTGGATTTTCACCTTACACACCAACTTATTTATGCTGTAATTAAAAAGTTCTTAAGTTTTGCAAGTGGTGCCTCTCATCTTTTGTTTAGTTTATCTTAGTAAATACAATACTGGCCTAGGCAATTTCTTTTTTTTTTTACGTAATCTCTACACCCAACATGGGACTCGAACTCACGACCCCGAGATCAAGAGTCAAATGCTCTACTGCTCTACCGAATGAGCCAGCCAGGAGCCCAGGTAATTTCTTGGGTTGGGGGGAGGGAGAAAAGGGGAGGGGTGGGGGGCTTGGCTTCCTTATCCTTTTTTTCTTGCCATGATTGTCTAAAGGGACCTGTATAAAGGGATTTGTGATTTTCTTGCATTATTATTCAAAGGATCAATAGGATATAGCCATATTTTTTAAAGTGTAGCTTGAGACATTTCTGAAATCAATTCAGTGGAACATAACTAGCCTGTAAACAAAACAAAAAATCTGACTACATCACAAGTAGCAACAAAAGTATTGTTTAGTTAAATTTTCTTTTAGTCTTGTGTGCATAATGGCTTGTATTTTTGTACCATAAGTCTCCACCAAAAATGTCAGAAAGCCACAGGGCTACTTATAAACAAGAAAAGATTCAGTGTCCACATCAAAACCACTGTTCTTAATGGGCTTTTTACCATTTGAGGAATCAAGATACCTTCCATTATGAAACAAAATCCAATTACAGAAAGATATTTAATTAATCCTGTACTAAGAAACCTTCTAAATACCCTTTGTAATAATCGACCTAAACCCAAAGGATTTTGTATGTTAGCAAGAATGTAATTTGTTTCACAGTGCAGTAATAAATCAGATTGAGAAGTAATTTATTTCATACTGTCGAAAATCTGAGTATTTATCTCTTTCATACAATTTAAAGGGTTCATCTCAGACAAAGCAAAAAATCTAATATGGAATAAAAAGTAAATGATAAATATTTCATGTTAGCACAATTTTAGTTTAACTTTTCCACATGAACCAAAACCAAATTATCACCTTCAAAAGACTGTACCAGTCAATTCTTTAAAAATCTCACATCTGATAAAGAAAACCATGTAACTCCAGAAAGTTGTACAATCAAATTCAACACCCCAACATCTATATTATTTAAATGTTTAGTATACAGACCAATATTTTGTGCCTTTATCATACCTCTGAGACTTTCCATATTAGTGACCAAGTTTCATAGCAAACATTCTCCAGGGTTAGGAGCAGAAGTGTGCTTTGGGGGAGCTGAAGTTGTATCAAGGCACAACATACATCAACATATTGAATATTCATATAATCTACAAACGGAAGTGTTTCCTGGTAAGCACATTAATATTAATTCGTTGATTCATTTCCTCTCTCTGTCTCCTGTAAATGTGCATGTGACCACACACTCACACCACACAATGTCCTACATTTGCTGAGCATGAGATGCTCCCTAGGACCTGGTCAGGTCACCGCCTACCTCCTCAGTTCCCCATGTCCTCTTTATTGTGCCACTTTCTATCTGTTTTTGTTTCTTCTCTCCTTTGACACGGAAAATTCCTACAAGAGTTTGAAGACTCAGCTCAGATCCCTTAAGAGGATCTTTACAGGACCACCAAAAAGAAATAAAATAAAGTTCTAAATTTTTTGGATAAGTTTTCATGGCGGAATATTGTGAAACTAATGGCTAAAATGAAGTTTAAAAGATTATCCACAACTACTGATGGACTATCTCTCCTGACTTGGTAAAATATTGTGGTTTACTAAGGATTGGCAATAATATCCACATAATATATATAATTATAAAAATAGAAAAAAATGTAGGTTATATATATTAAATAGGACAAGAATGCAAAAGGTTAGATGTTTCTGTATTAATGAACACTTACAGAAGTATATTATGTTGTATTTACTTGGCTTTTGCTATTTTTTTTGGTCTAGCTGACTCTTTTTAACTGTATCTATAAAACATCTACAGGGGCCCTGACTGGCTCAGTCAGTGGAGCATTCAACTCTTGATCTCAGGGTCATGAGTCTAAGACACATGTTGGGAATGGAGCCTACCTAAAAAAAAAAAAAAAAAATCTACAAAGTGGAGTATAATGAATCCCTATATATTCATCTCCCAGTTTCAACAATTACCAACACACAGTCATCTAACTTCATCCACATCACTAATCCCTCTACTGAATCGGAAATGTTTTTGAATCTTTGCAGACATTTCATCCATAATTATCTTAATATGTATCTCTGAATCATTTTAAACATAATTATAATATTATTGCAAAAAAATGAATAATCTTAGTATCATTAAATATCTAATTAGTGGTCAATTATTGATGTTTTTTTATAGTTTGTTCAAATCAGCATCTAAACAATGGCAACAGACTGCATCTACTTAATATAACCCATAAGTCTTTTTAAAGTCAATTTATGAGATTCCCCTTTATATTTTTCGTAACAATATATTGTTTGAAAAAATTGCCATAGTATGTTTTTAAGGTTCCTATGCCTTAAAATAGAGAATCAGGGTTTCATATTAGCAAGATAACTGTTACAATATAGTCTTTCATTCTATGGGCACCTGGGTGGCTCAGTCGTTAAGCGTCTGCCTTCGGCTCAGGTCATGGTCCCAGGGTCCTGGGATCGAGCCCAGCATCAGGCTCCCTGCTCAGCGGGAAGCCTGCTTCTCCCTCTCCCACTCCCTCTGCTTGTGTTCCCTCTCTTGCTGTGTCTCTCTCTGTCAAATAAATAAATAAAATCTTAAAAAAACAAAAAACAAAAAAGTATGGCTCACTGCTATCTTAAACTAGACAGCCATTATAAGGATGACATTTACAGAGAATAAACAAACATTTGCAAGAACTTCATTTTTCTATTAGGTGAGGACATGAACACCAAGACCCTTGGAGAATGGTTAAAAAAAATTACAAGTATTAAATCCAAATGATAATTGTACTAGAAGTTAATTTCATAATAGTTTTTAGTAATAACGTAAACATTCTGAAAGTTATCTGACTTTTAGATAGCTTGGTTCTCCATCCTGATGTTTTAGCCCACTGGTAAAAATGTTACACTTCAAAAGACTGAATCATATGTGTTTAAATATAGGTAACCTTCACCTCATAATCATATACATACATACAAGGCAAACACATGGGACAAAGTGCTATTTGCCACTTTAAAACTCCTCTGACCCTCACTACATATGAAAGTATTAACCTAAGTTTTACTCCTAAAGCACTTTAAAATGCACTACTAAACATATAATAGTGTTTAGTGATGTAAATAAATTCATTAAAAACCTGTAGACCTTTTTGTAGCCTGAACACACAGCCAAAAGCAATACTTCTATTTTAATTCCCAGGAAGTTTTTCTCAGTTGCTATACGAATACAGCTATCATATTAGAAAGGAAAAAAACAGCCCCAGAGTAGTGTGCGAGGCACCACCTACCATAGACCTGGGCTTGCTGATGGCCACCAGACTAGTGAGGAAGTCTTCATCATGCTGCTGGCTGAAAACATGGGCGTCATAGGCCACCATAATGGAGATTTCTTCCATCATCTTGCCAGCTGGCCCTTCCACAGCACCAGCTGCTACCCAGGCTCCAGACCAGACTATCCAAGGAAAACTCCTACTGCAGCTCAGTGCCAATGCCCACACCCACCTGAGTTCCAGGGGGCGGAGTATCAAAAATCCAGAAGGAAAAAAAGAAAAGGAAAAAAGAAAAGCAGCTGCTATCCCAGGCTTGCCTGGCAATTCACCCCCAGTAGAAAACCAAGGGAGGTCTCTTATCTGTGGAGGAAGTATACACTATAAACACCTTCTGCATTCTTAACACAGCAGCTGGAAAGTTCGGTTTTGGGAAATCTTCTTTCAGCTTCAAAAAGAGAAATAAAGAAAAGTTTTCTAACTGGAAATATCCTATAGCAAAATCAAACAAAACAAAAGACCCCCCAAAACTGATTTATGTTATGCTCTTGGTAATTAGAAACTTTCAAAGTTTATCTTCTTACTTCAGTATTACTTATATCAAGATTCTTCTTCTTGGAGGAGAAGTCGATTTTCTTACGGCTTATTTTTCCACATTCATAGAAAATAAATAGATGGCAACCTTTAGTTTTTCAGAATTTCTAGAATTCTTGGTGCGGTTAAAAATTATCTCCTGAAGTATGAAAAAAAGAGATTCTTTTTCACCTCTGATTATTTCTGTTAAAAAAAGTACCAAAATATAAAAATGAAACAGGGACTGCAATATCAATTAATTATCATTTCCCCTTCTCCCACTAAAAAACACACAAATATTTTAAATAAAATTCTTGCTTTGGGGAACTTTGTTTTCTGTTGGTATTCAGAAAGCAACGCAAAGGTCCCGTTTCTAAACTTACAGTTTTTCTCCCATAGATTAAAGTTCTTCTCTCTTTTTTTTTTTTTAAGCTTAGAGGTTTCTTTTAATTACCCATATTAGCAGATAGTCATGAACTGGTGATGTCTTAGCCACCAGACGTGTTTTACAGTTGGAGACCGTAAATGAATCTCAATATGCTCTAATGAAAAATTTGAAAGCTGCCCATAATTATCATTACAAAGTTGCCTAAATTACCAGGAAATATAATGTATGCTAATTCCATGGAAAAAGTATTAAGCAAATAAAAAGGGGGAGAACAAATGAAGCTCCTCCAAAAGTTGTTTTTCCAAAATTTCTAATTAAGCTATTATCATCTCTGCTTTTTACAGATTATGACATTGCAGTACCATGAGAAATATCATTTGTTAGAATTAGAAATCAATTTGGCAATGTTTGTCTATAATCAAATGCAGATACTGGTTGGAATTTTTAGCCCTAATTACCAATAGCATTGTTATGTTGTTTGTTTGCTTTTCAAAGGACAAAACTTAAAATGAGGTTCATGGTGTCTATTTTCCCTTATTTTCCTGAAGTACCTTCACCTAGATTAACATGATTACTTAAATAGCACCTTGTTCCATTTAAATATGATTAGGAGAGTCTTGAAATTGCTATAGCATTCTAGATTAAACACACACACACACGGAAGGAGAAAAACACCTTATTGCTAGGAAACAGAAGCAAGTCTAATAGGCTTATTTTAACAGAAAATACAATACTTTCAATAAATCTTCAAGATTAAAACAGCTTCAAACTGTGCTTGACCCTCGTTGGAGCCAGTAAAGCATTTTTACTTCATTTTTTGCTACAATGCAGCTTTGTCTCTTACGCTTCATTTTTGTCAAAAAGTTTCCCAGCATATTTATCTGAAGGCTGACTAACCAGGTAAAAATTAAACGGTAATCAAGAGACAAGGTTTCATAAAGCGTCCAGGCAGTTCATACCTTTTAAATTCCTTTTTATCTTTTCAGAAGTACTGTAAAAGATACTGTGAACCTCTTCATGCATTCACTAGCACCAGAAGGTTTCAGGTTTATCTTGCAGCACCATTTTCTAGATGGGAAAGCAATTCCTCTTGCTTTCATGTTTTTCTTTGCTGCAGTGACTCAGTGCTTCTACCCTGATACCTGAATAAGGTACACTGACAAAGACACCTGTTGTGGAAGGTAAAGAAACTACTTCCCATAATGCCTTACTCCCTGCTGGCAACCGCCCAGGGGCAAACAAGAATTATAAACCACATTCAAGCAGTTGCCTATGCACCCCGGGAGAGCAATTCAGTTTAACAATGGGTAATCTTCTTGGTTAGGAAGAACACTCATAACCCAAGGGGAAAAAAAGGACCAGAAAAACAGTATCAAATAGTTCAGGTGCTGTGTATTAAACTCATAAAACATTTAGGGATCAGGGGTATAAGAGTACAAAACAATTTTAGGAACATAATCAAAGGCTGTAAAGATACTTTTAAAACTACATAAACAGAAGCTAATGACTTTAAATAATGCAGTCCTTTTAGAATTCCACACAGGTTCTCATGTAAACAATCAGGTATTTTTTAAAGCTTCTGATTACCTACAAAAGATTGTTCTAATTAGCCACAGCCACTGGAATTATTAATAACTTTTCATTTCTAAATCTAAGAGGTCCTCTATCAAAGCCAGAATGCATGCATTTTCCAGAGCAAGGGTTCCCTAAGTTAGACTTGCACCCTTCATTTTTGTCACCCTTACAATGGTCCTCCATATTTGACTTTCAGAGTCTGGGCAGGAAAAATTCCAATGTTTCTTTTCTCTTACAATTAACTGTATACTTGTGGTCCCAACAAAATGCATACTTTTTGAAAACCGATGATCTATTTAAAAACCTGTCTTTGAACTGGCCTTTTCTCCAGTCTCAGAAATACCCTCCCCAAAGTTCAGGAGCCCTGTTACAGTCATGTTTACAAACAGTTCTCTACTCCCTTGCAAGACATCTTTCTTACTCTGTTGCCTGTTCCCCTGTGAACTGATCCCACGGATCTCCCAGGATTGTTTCCACCTAAGTTTCTGCAGTCCTCTACTTTGCACCACGTAGCAACACTGAAAAAGGCCGTGGGGGTGGGGAATTACCTGAGATCAAGGAGTGTAGCAGCATTTGCTGATGAATTTACCAGGCAAGGACTGTATATCCTACCGGCAGCAGAAAACAAGGCGTCAGTGGTAACCAATAGAGGGTCGCCAGTTCAAGCAGGAACTAGCTAGCAGTCTGTCCCAGGGCAAGTCATTCAACCTCCCTAGGTTTCAATTTCCTCATGGTCATGTAAATTGAGAGGGATGGACTAGATCTGAGGTTTTCACCTGCGCTCAGAAACTGTCCAAAGCTAAGCATCCAATTTCCCTCCACTGAACAGGCTTACCGGGAGATTTGAAGGTGGAAATAACTTTTTAATCTCTATCAGAATAAAAAACAAAGGGTAACATTAATCCCAGATGTTAAGAAAGTCGGGGTTGCTATAATGTGTCCCAAAAAGGCAGTCGATTTTGTACCCTACTTTGGATTTTCTAATGTCAACTCTTTTGCCTATGAAGAGAATTCAGTGACAGTGGGGATACTTTTTATTAGTTATTCTTTGCAGTCTTTTCAGTTTAGAGGCCAACCTGGCTACAAAATAATTTGTAAAAGCCTCTCCAGATCTCATTAAAATTAAGCAAATTTTAGTGAATAAAATATCTTTAATGATTTGTAAGTGCCGTTTTAACATTTTACGTAGGAAGGTTTTACTCTGGTAGCTGATTTTGTTCCAACAATCATTCTTCAAGGATTATTACTTTTTAACAACCACATACCCGGGTCATAGTGAGTATGAGTCTAATAAACCATTCCTGGCCTTCAGAGAACATCTGTTCTCACGTGTCAAATGTAGGTACGGCCAAAAGAAAAAAATCAAGGAAAACATGAATAAGATGTGAACATTTTTTAAATTTCTGTGTTCTCCCCAAATGCAGCAAAGCAGCAAAGTAACTTTATGATGGGAGTGGTATTCAAACCAAAGGAGCAAATATGTGAAAAACAGCACGTCTTTAAAAAGAGCCACAAGACCAGGAGCCTGGGTGGCTCAGTCATTAAGCGTCTGCCTTCAGCTCAGGTCATGATCTCAGGGTCCTGGGATCGAGCCCTGCATCGGGCTCCCTGCTCCGCGGGAAGCCTGCTTCTCCCTCTCCCACTCCCCCTGCTTGTGTTCCCTCTCTCGCTGTGTCTCTCTCCGTCAAATATACAAAAAATAAAAAATAGAAAGAGCCACAAGAGTGGCTGCAAAGACCCTTTCCCCATGCCTCAGGTTCTGCTTGCTGTACTTTTCACAGCAGCCATAAAGTTGGGGCAAGATGGAAAGGAGGAGAAAAGCACCAGGGCAGAAATATGGTCTCAAGGGCAGAGGGTCTTCTGAGCCCTCCGCATGCACAGGTGGAGCGCTCTAGACACTCTCCTTCCCTCCCTGGTGGTTCTCGTCTATTTATTCCTAAATCAGTCAACATAAACATTCACGAAGTGTATGTGACTTAGTTTTAAGAGATCTTCACAAAACATTCATGTATTGACATAAACAACCGTAAGAAAGACAAAATTCTACAAGTACTTTCTTAATCACAGAAAACCAATATTCCAAGTAGGTTTTACACTTAGGAGTGCACATTATAAAACCCAAGTGCTCTAAGTGGGGGAACAAAATATAAAAGGAGAATGAGAAGTCACAGAAATATCAAGAGCAGAAAGCTTTTCAGGGTATCTTGGATTTCAGAGTAGTCCAGTGACACATACTGAGTTTTTACAAAGTGAAAAGACCAAAAAGTAAAAGATAAAGAAGCAAAATCTTAGTTTTCTTAAAAAAATCATGCAAAGGTAAATACAGAAAACCTTTATTCTTGTGTTGAATTCCAGCCATTCAGCTCATTTTCTTTCCTATCTTTCCTAGCAATTGCTAGGCAAATTCAAAACCCCAGAAAGCATAGATTCTTAAGGGGAAAAAAAAAAAAAATCCCCAGAGTTAAAGAAAAGAAAAACCAGTGGGGCCTAAAATACTTGCCTAACAGCTATACTGGGTATCTTACTTCCTCATTCGTATCTCACTACAAAGAATGTGGGTGAGGGAGAGTCCAGACTATGAGTCTGCAACTCTCTAACAATTAGCTTTTTACCTCATTTGTAACTCTAAAATACACAGCCAACTGGTAAACACAAAACAACAGGCCCAAAATGGAGTCACTTTTGTGAAGCCCCACGTTACCAAAAAGAGACTTCATTACAGTTTTGGCTCTCCCAGAAATGGAATCTTAAACCAGTCACTCAGAAATCGCCTGATCAGCACTAGTTGGGTAATCTGCCTGACAGACCCCTTTGAAATAATCAAACTGCTTTTTTGCCTACTGTAACTTCTTTGTTCCTGCTCCCTTTTGCTTACGAAAGTCTTTTCTTTGGTACAGCTCCTCAGAGCTCCTTCTTATCTGCTAGATTGGATGCTGCTCAAGTCATAAATCATTGGATAAAGCCAATAAGATCTTTAAAATTTACTCAGTCGAATTTTGTTTTTTAACACAACACATTCACTTAAACTTTACCTAACCAAAAATAAGTGTTTCCAGTGTTGTAAGTATTCACTGATATTTGCCAAGGATGGTTTCGGACACATCTAAAAATATGAGCAATGCTTCATCTTGTCTTACTTTTGAGCAGAATACACAACAAACTTGTAATTACAGATAACTTTACCTTAATTTTTAAAGCATTCAAAATATTTTTTAAATTAAAAAAAATTTTTAAGTTTTAAAAAAGTTTTACTAACAACCAAATCAAACCATTCCACAAGGATAATGTTTTAGATTCCTTTTTTTTTTTTAACCAAGATCAGAAGGTAGTTTTAGTTTTAGGGAACAGCAAAAAAGTGTAAACTAGTTTTATTTACATGTTCATTTGTTTCAAGTTCTTCCTGCAGGGCTGGTGACTCCAGCCTGGATAAGTCCCTTTCCAATGGGCCCTCAGGTCGCTGCAGCAGTGGTGGGCTTGATGATCACCAGGGGGAGGAGGGTGGGGGCCGTGTGTTGAATAGGTGATGGGGATTAAGGAGGCACTTCTTATGATGAGCACCGGGTGATGGATGGAAGTGTTGAATCACTATATTATACACCTGAAACTAATATTACACTGTTAACACGAATTTAAAAACTAAAAACAACAACAAACCAACTTGATGAATTTAATGCTACGTGAATTATATCTCAATTTAAAAAACCCAACAGTATTTGCTAAATGCTTGTAACGTGCATGGGAGTGGGGGGAGGGGCGCTTACAAATTTTTAATATAGTAACATATAATCTAGTTATAATGATGACTAATAGGGGTGCCTGGGTGACTCAGTCGATTAAGCATCTGACTCGATCTCGTTTCAGGTCTTAATCTCAGGGTCATGAATTCAAGCCCCACGTTGGGCTCCACACTGAGTGTGAAGCCTACTTAAAACACACACACACACAAATAATAACTAACGTATCCTTAAAAAGTCTTTTATAATAATAATAGGAACTAATAGGTAGTAAGCATTCACTATGTCCTAGACATAGAATCCCATTTAATCTTCACAATAAGTCTGTGAACTAGGAACTATAATTATCCCTTCTTCTCCACTGAAGTATGGAGAAGTTTGGTGATTTGGCTCAATTATCACAATTAGAAATGGAGCTGATAAGATTCAAAAACCAGTGTGTCTGGCTCCAAAGGGCATGCCCTTGACAATAAGGGAAGTGAGCAGACATAAACTGAGAACTGGCCATGTGCCAGACACCCCTTCTTTTCAAACACCGATATCTCCTTCCCCTGCCCAGCCCCCAGAACACAATACACTATGTTTGCCAAGTAATGCCATCATAAGTGACTTTAGGACTGTAAGAGTATGAAGTCTCTCTGCATACAGGAAAGCCTACATGGAAAAGATGGATTGGATTTGGATAGGCTAAGTGAAATCATTTTTTATAGGGAAAATAAGCCTGGTCTCAGTGCTGATATTGGTGGGGTACAGTAAGAGATAAGGTTTCAAAGGCAGGTTTGAATTGGCCT